AAGGGGGGGGGGGGTCCGGGCCCACCGGGCCCCTCCCCTGAATCCGCCACTAACGGCCACCTCACCACCGCGGTCAAACGTCTAAATCGTTATTTTTGTTTTTTATTGCTGGGATTTCATTTACCAGTTAGAGAAAAATGGGCAAAGATGTATAAATCAGTTAGTCAACATAACTATCTTTCCATTTTTCTCAAAATTTTGAGCTTTTTTCGCTGAAAACGCTTCGCACTAAAAGAGAATCATGTTTGAAAATGGCGCCGATAATAACGTCAGCATCGGTTTTCAATCACTTAGAACTTTTTTAGTAAACTTTTAAAAAGTTCAGTAAACTAACAGGATGTTGGTAATACCCTAAACTTTCGATAGTGAAAGTATTAACCTTAACATTGAAGTATTTCGCTTAACTTTTGCAAATTTCATTCGTTTGACCGCTGTGAAGGCCACCCCTCGCCAACGGCCACTTTACTTTGTCCCGGCGGATGGTCCATATATTTTGATTTTGTTTCACCATTGCGGTAAGCATAAATTGCCTACGATACTTATAGAGAATGTTGCGAAACTTGCTCGTTTTGCCACGGCAACATTGCGGATTCAACACATTATTCACTTTTCTTGTGTATTTTATCTATATATAATTTTTATTATTGGATTACCATTATGGGATATAGTAAGCATGAACTTAGCACAATAAAGATGTTGTACTCCCTAAAAAAATTGTCATCTTATACTCCTACCTCCCCATCGGCCAGTCACCTCTGTCTCAGGGGTGGCCGTTGTAGAGATGTTCGACTGTATATCCATTTCCGGTGTGTCTTCTGGAGGTAAGGGACCGGTCATTATTTATCGCCGGGAGGGGGGGGGCGGAGGATTTGGGGCTAAACAAAGGACAATTTAGCCTTTTCCTCCTTTGAATGTTACTTCAGCCCCCCTAATAACATTTGATGACTTTCGCGATCCCCCGCGAATGTCTTCAATTTCCAAGCAAATTTGAGTGGTCCCCCCTATGAATCCTTTCAAAGTTTTCAGCGATCCCCCATTTTGGGTTCTCAGTTACGACTGATCCCCACTTTTGTTCTCCTAAAAGTCAAGTGTTTCCCCCTGAAATCCTCCCCCCCCCCGGCGATAAATAATGACCGGTCCCTAATAGATTTGCTAATGAAATTTCCTTTTCGACACACTTGAAGGTTGTTAAAACCAATTTCCTTTCGTTTTCAAAGTTCAAAGTGTGCTGCAATGTGAACGTTTCAGCACCTTTTAATAATCCTGACCGTAAATCGTAACCTTTTAATCTTAACCTTAAATCCTGTGGAGGGTCAACCGTAATGTCAAGGTTCAGTTGAAAAACGTAACATGGTAAAAAAACAAATTGCTATCAAGGAAGTGAGAGCATGTTAAAAACTGACTGCAAATTTTACCCGTGGAAATTTCTAAGGCTGGAGAACGGCTAAAAATTTCTGGATAACAGACCATTCGTGTAAGATATCCGCAGTTTTTATATTAACCTACATATGATTTTCGGAGGTGTGTTTTCACTTTTTACTATTGTAAAAAAGACTTCCCCTGAAAATTTCGGTATAAAGACAAAGCGTCTCAGTGAATTTTCCAATGTCCACGCCCTTGAACTTTCGATCGGATTCATCAGGGTGGCTTCAATAGTACCAGTTGCGGTTCGATGAGACGATAAAGCCTCCTAACTTCCAAGACGAACGAAGTTCTCCTAAGATATCCGAATAGATAAATAGTTTTAAGGGCAGCTCAAAATTAACCAAACTGGATTCTAAAGCATAGAGAAGACCATCTGAAACACTTCTGGTCGATGGGTGTGTTCATTCTTTCGTTACAGCCTTTATCAGTGGCTGATCTAGGGGAGGCGCCCGGAGCGGGCCCCGCTTATTATTTGTAGACCAAACCGAGGCCCGAAGGGCCGAAAAAAATTTTTTGGAGACCGAGCCCCCCCCTTATCTCAGGATCTGGATGGTCGCCCCCCCCTAACCTGAAGGTCTGAATCCGCCACTGTTTATGGTGTTGTATTTGTTTGCCTTTCAACGAAAGGACTGCACGTTTTCCATGAATGGTAATCACCAGGCCAGTAATGTGGGACCGCAAAAATGCGATCTTAAGATAAGTGTGTTGTGTCAGCTCGCATGGTTTTTTTCGTGGTTGTTTTTACATTGTTCAAGTGCTCACACACTACAGGATGTTACTATAACGAGGAACGGGGAACGGGGGAACGCCTGGGGGGTACTCCCTCTAGTCTGATGGCGTGTATCGCGCGGGGACGTTTTCAGGCTTCAGGTTTATGAAAGGGGAAGGATTTCACTAGTTGAAATACATGAAAGGGTAGGGAAATCTGTCATTTCGGTCTCTAAAATGACCTAAATGGGCTACAGACGGATTTTATGGCTGTGAAAAAGTCGATAAAATTTTCTTGTTATGTGAATTTTACTCATATTTAAAAGAAACTGCACTTACAACAGTTAAAGGGATACATACAAAGTTCTAAACTAGGTATGCTAAAGGGGTACCATTGTGTCAAAAATGGTACAGAAAAGGGGGTACAGGGTTGGACCTCGCGGCGGTGCAACGAAAAAAGGAAACAGGGGCAAAACCTGACTTGAACTCTAGTCCTATCACTGTAGCTTTGTTAGCAGTTCTCTGTTTTGTCCCTATTTAACATCCCACACTACAATCTTCGGCCAGTCACCCTCGTATTAATTTCTGGCGTGTCTTACGAGGCAAAAGATTCCCTAGTGAAGCGTCCCTTTCGAAACACATTATATTAGCGCGCTAAAACAAATTTCCTTTTCGATCTTCTGTTTTCAAAGTTGAATAGCGCCGTGAGGGTAGCCTTGTAGCTTAATTCCTAACCTTTAATCCTTACTCTTTTGATAATCCTGACCTAAATCTAGTGAAGGGTGACAGTAAATGTCAAAGTGCAGATGAAACAAGTAACATGTGGTCGCTGAAGTGACATCAAGGAAGAAAAACATATTTTCGCAGTAGAAAATTGACATCTAGGAAGTTATAGCATGTTATAAAACTGACTGGCTGTGAGGCAGTTATTTTAATTTCGACTTCCCGTACGTTTGCGTAGAGAAACACTGAGCAGTTTATTCACTGCCTTGCTGACCGATTCAACAGTAAGTACATCTATGACCTTTTTCTAGATGCAGTCGTAAAGAACTTTAACAAATCAGGGTTGCAGCTGCAGCTGTTAGTTGCTGTTGCGTTAACATCTAGGACTCCGATAGCAAGCGTAGCCAGGATTTTATCAGAGGCACCCGCAAGTTTTTGAAATCCATCCCAACACCTTCGTTTTCCCACACTGCTTTCCATTTTCCCTGAAATACATTTGCTTTCCTTTTAAGTGACGGTGGCTGCACATAAATGGATGGTACGGCAATCCAAGACAACGCAATCTGCAGTTTTTGATTAAGCCCAAGGCGCGAGTGTGAGGGTACCGTAGGGTTTCAGGGAACATGGTTCCCCGAAAAAAAAAAATGAAATTTGGGCCTTGCGAAATGGCAAGAAATGCATCAAAAATTCTCATCCTTCCAACAGCATAGCCCGTTTAGTTATTTCATGGCCCAAAATCTATGAAAATCAGACAGCGATGTTACATTTTTTTAATGTAATTAATGGGCATTATGATATTGACATTTCAAATAAGCTCATATTTTGTAAGGACAGAAATACAGGCTATAACTTGAGGAAAAATGACACACAGGACCTTGTTCCAAATTTTAGTAGAACTGACGGTTTTAAATATAGTTTTTTTTAACTGGATTGTAGATGAATGGAATGGTTTACCCAATCATATTAGAGAATCAAACGGTATTGCAACTTTTAAAAAAAATGTTTTAAGCTTTATTAAGGATAACTAGAACATTTAGATTTCTATTTGTATATATTTTTGTTATATTTTAATTAGTTGGGGCATCCCTAGTATAACGCATTGGCGCTTTTGGTTGTCTCCTTCTCCACAACTTTTTTTTTTTTTTTCTTATAGTAGCGTTAGCTTATTTCATTTCATTATTTGCTTGTAATGTAGTGGAGTGAATCTGTAATAAAAGCTGTTAACAAAACAAAACTTGGTGAAACGGCCCCATTAACTGGGTGGTTTAAATCGGGAGTGAAAATAGACATTTCAGTTCTTGGGAACAAACGGTAGAATGTGAAACCACTTAATTGACCAATCAGAGTGTCTCTGACTGAAAGGTGAAAATTGAAATATTTTTCTCCTTTAGCTCGTTATGGATCGTCTGGTTATTTTGTTACTCCTGGCTGTTGCTATGACAATGGTTACCCTACCAAGTGAAGGTATGATTGGTTTCGTTGAACAGCAATTATTGTCATGCTTTTTTTAGCACAGGACTGAATTCAATGAAGTTTGAGGGTATATATGCACTTCTCAAAAAGTGAAATGATAGGGTGATGAAGCGATAACAGTGCCATGCTGATCCCCTCCCCCCTTAGACAGCTCTTGGCTAGCCTACGGGTGAAAGTAGAACTCTGTATCTCATGGGTGAAGCCGTCATCTTTGACTTTGAAAGC